GCACAGCCATCAGGCTTATTTGAAAAGAATAACCATTATAATGACAGGGCAGGAGGGGGGTGGAACTTCTCTTGTTTTGTGTGGTAGGGGTTATTATTGGAAGAGGGATGTTTGCAGTCACGTGAACGAAGCTGTTGCTGTGACATCTGAGCTCATGGAGACTGCTTTTGTTATGCAAAACCTCTCCTCTGACAACATGGATCTAAATGAGATGCTAGGTACTTCTTCTCTACAAAAAGAGGTGTTTTTTTTAATAGTAATTACACATATTCATTTTAGAGAAAAGGAAAGCAATTCAAAAGGGAACACAGCATATTTAAAATGCCAAGATAGAACCCCAGTTTGATGACTTGGTCAGGATAAATGGTCCTCTGTGTAGATGAGCACAGAATTGAAAAATGAGATCTTGCCATACATACTAGTCCGTGATTTCGTTTTGTTTCCTTAACACTACATCTTGGAGAGGCTTCTGTCATCATAAAATAGACCTATGTCACCTTCTAAAAAAATCAATTGATTTATTTTCAACTACAGTTGAATTAGTTCCAGGTGTGCAGCATAGTGGTTAGACATTCATATAACTTATGAAGTGACCCTCCCCCCCCCTTGGTAAGTCTAGTCCCCACCTGGCACCATACACAGTTATTATGATATTATTGACTGTATTCCCTATGAAATGCTGTCATTACATCCCCGTGACCTATTTTAAAGTGGAGGGGATTAAGACCCATGTCACCACTTTAATGGCTGCGGGTGCTCTGTAACTTGTTTGTCCCATCAGTTCCTGATGGGTCTGTTTCTTTGCTGTAACACGGCATGTGGGTAAATGCTGAATGGGCATGTCTGCAGGCTGGCCAGGGATTCAGAGGAGGAGTGGCTCCAGGTGGAAGTGGGGCCTGTGGCTGACTCTCTCATCACGTCTGGGAGGAACATCATGCTGATAGCTCAGAAGCTCCACCTCCAGCCAGAATGTCAGAGCCACCGGGAGGCGCTGGTGACCACCGCTCAGCAGATCCTGCTGGGCACCACGAAGGTGAGGCTGATGTCAGCTGGCTGGCGGGTGGGGCTGGGCAGAGCTTGTTGCTGGGAGGCCTGGATGGGGCGTGTCATCCCCATGACGGACACCGGCCCTAGAAAGAGAAACCTGCCCAAGTTTCTGCCAAGATCACAGGCACAGAGGGCATTACCAATGTAATAAATGCTACTTGTGGAAGGTGCCACAGGGAGCCAGGTAGACATACCGAGTTAGGGTCGGTGACCTTAACTCACATGAAGCACCAGCCCCACACTGGCTCACCAACCCCTAATGAGAAGGTGTCACTGAGGGATTCATTTTCCAGCCTACCTGCGGCCAGGACCCGCAGGGAGAAGCTACAGAAAACTTTGCAGCCCTCAGCCTGTTTGGCAAACTTGCCCCAGATGAAAGCTGTGCTCATTGGCCTATCGCTGGGGGGACCTCAGGGCCAGGACAGCTCCGCAGCCTCCATGCTGCCTTCTCTCCCTCGAGACATGCTGCCACCTGGTGCCACAACTCTTGTTGGGGACATGCTCCCTGTTAGAATCTATGTGCTGTACATATCAAATATCAGCAATGTGCATCATTAAACCTTGAGCACTGTGGGTGACTGGAGTAGCATTTGTAATTTAACAGATCCTCATTGCAGTAAGATGAAAATGGGGAAGTCAGAGAGGCAGAGCCAGAAGGCATGGGCACTGCTGACACAGGAGAGGGCTAGAAGGGCAGGTTCTTGGAAATGGCTGGGTGCCAGCTCTGTGGCAGGGGTGGGACAGAGCCGAGAGGGGCCATCAGGCTAGGAGCTTTCTCAGGGGCATCTCTCCCGCCCCCACAATCCCCATCCAAACAGTAAGCCCTTCCTAGACACCTTTGTCAGTTATGTGCCTGCCTAGTGCAGAGGTTGCCAACCCCCTCTAACCTGGAGATGGACGCTCAACCCACACTGGACCCCACAGGAGCTGTAGCTCGAATTTAGGAGGCAGTTACTGCAAATGTCTTCTTTAAAGGACTCTCCTAGGTGACTTTTTTGTTTTTGGGGGGCGGGGGTGTGAGTTGAGATTCCATTCTCTTCTGTGTTGGGATCTTTGGACCTTCATTTGTAAAACTGGGTGGGGGTAGGGGAGCTCGCTGTCGCTCCAGACACGTGTAGGCCTTTTCAAGCGTATTCCCCACTGTCGCCACAGGTGCTGCTCCTGGAGGACGCGGCGGCAGCTAAGACCACGGCGCGGGCGGCTGGCAGGTGCCTGACATGCCTAGACACGCTGGAGGCGGCGGGCTCGCGCTCACTCCGAGGCCCCTGGGCCGACCTGGCCAGCGCGCTGCTGTGCCTGGGCCGCCTGGGTGCGCGCGGGCCACCCGGGCGCCTGCTGCGGGGTCGGGTCCCCGCGCTGCTGGCCGCCGCCCGCGCCCACCCCCAGAGCAGGCGCCGCCTCTTGGCTCTGTCCCGGGATGCCCTTGGCGAGCTGCTGGCACAGCTTGAGCCTGGTCCGCTGGCGCCCCCGGCCCCCGCGCGCGGCGCGCTGCCTCGGCACCTGCTGCAGCTGCAAGCGCTGCTGGCGGCGCCCGGGCCGGAGCGCCTGCGGGGACGGCTGGATGCGCTGCTGGCCGCGGTGCTCGGGCCCTGCATGCGCCTAGCCGCCGGAGCCGCGCCGCCCGAGAGGCTGCGTCTGGTGACTCACTGCCGCCGGCTGTTGGAGCTGAGGGGGCTGGAGCCCAGGGAGCCGGGAGAGGAGCGCGCGGCGCTGCGGGCGGCCACCGAGGCCCTGTCCCAGGGGGTGCGTGCCGGGCTGCTGCGTCAGATCCTGGGCACGTTCACCGACATGCATAGTCCTCTGCAAAGGCTGGTCCAGGCTGCCTCAGCGACGACGCCCGTCAGCTCCCCGTGCGACGACGAGGCCGTGCCCAAAAGCCTTCAGCTTCTCTCTGCCGATTTCCACGACCAAGCCACGCAGATGCTCCGGGTGGCCCATTTGGTCTTGGTTTGCTGTCCTGGACAACAAACTGGCAGAGACTTGGAGGCCACCATGGCAGGCCTCTGGGGGCTTGTGGTGACAGTGCAGCAGCTTTTCTCACAAGGCCGGCAGGGGGCTCGCCTGGACTGGAGCCCTGCTGCCTTGCAGGCCCTGCTCCAGGCCTGGGCCAGGGCCTCAGAGCGCCTGCTGGCATGTTTCGATGGTGTTCTCTACATTCCTGAGTTCCTGAGCGTATCCATTGAGGAAATGGCCAAGCACTTGAACTTCTTTACGTGGGCCTTGAGGAGTGGGGATGGCGGAGGGTTTTCCAGGCTGGTGGCGTATTTGCAGGGCCGCGCCACACACATAGTGCAGGTGATGAGCAGGTTCGTGGACCAAGATCGAGATCCCATCTTCCGAAACGGCCTGAGGGTCTTGATCTGGCAGCTGAATCAAGCCTCCTTGGTCCTGGGTGCGGCCACTGAGCGCTACACAGGTGGGCACCTGGCTCCGGACACAGAGGCGTGTCTAACTGCAGCAAAACATCTCATCTGTGCAGCTCAGAGCCTCCAACAGGGATTGGATGGTACTAACCACCCTGATCTCCTCAGCCCCCTTCGGGACCCAGTCCAAATGTTTGACAAGGCCAACAGTCAGCCTTATTCCCTTTTCCCCAGCCACCAGGATGCCCCAGCTCCAGAACGGAAATCCCAGAGGCAGGGTGGGTTGGGGAAAAGTGACCCAGGCACTTCCTATCCACCCAGGGACCATCTTTCCAGTCCCTTGGTTCCTGACACCTGTCCACAGAGGTGGGGGCCTCCACTCCCCGCCACCAGCAAACTCACCCTCACTGTAGAGAGCAGTGGCCACCAGGCAGTGACCTCAGCTGGCACCAACCTGCAGGCACGGAGTGCAGCTGTGGATATAACTCAAGAGTCCCTGACAGGGGAGGGACCACTGGAGCCAGAGGGGGTGACTGAACTCCGAGAAATCCCAACACCGGCACCCTCTATTACTGCCCTAGCAGGGGAGATGGCACAATGCACAGCTGCTGCAGCCAGTGAGCTTCTGGAAGTGTCTCCCCAGCTGTCTGAGAGAACCAGGGACACCAGGCAGGGTTTGGTAGCCATGGCTGGTGACTGGTACCCTCTGTGTCAACAGCTATTTTGTTACAACCCAGCAGCTGACCTTCCAGGGAGCACTGCTGTGTTCATGGAGCTTCAGCAGAATTTAGTTTTAATGGTTCAACTAGCAGCCAAAAGTGGGCCCGTGGATTTGGGTGAGAGGGACCCTGACTCAACTGGGCACCCAGAAGCACTTTCACAAATGCAAGGCCGACTGGAGGCAGCGGAAAGCCATGCTAAACAGCTGCTGGACAAGGTCCGGGCCTCTGATGGCCTCCACGCCCCCAGACTGTGGGAGGAGAGCTTCGAGGACAGGTGCCTTCTGTGGTCAGTGGCTGTCCGAGACCTGCTGCAGTGCATGGAGAGGCTCAGCAGGAGACAAGGGCTGTTCCTTCTGTCCCTGCGACAGGCTGTGAAGAGCCAGCAGGGGCTGCAGGGGGCGCTGGCTCAGACGGCAGAGGTGTCCCTGAGGCTGCAGGAGGCGGCCAGGCTGTCTTGCCTCTTGTGTAGGGATGAGCAGGTGAAAGCTGAGCTCTCCTTCCTGTGCAGGGAGGTCCACGTGCTCACAGACGCTCTGCGGGATGTGGCACAGGCCCTGGCTCCCTCCCCCAGGCCGTCCCCCAGCCTGTCCACGCGCTTCCAACTTCTCTGCCTGGAGCTCACCCTCCGAGCCAAGGCCCTGACTGGCCACCTCAGCAGCATCAATGCAGACTATGGACAGGCCCTCCAAAATGCCTTCTGTTCAAGGCTTTCTGTCTGCAAAGACCCCCAGACCGCAGGCCCCAGGCTCTCTGGGCCAGAAAGCTCCCTGCAGAGAATGGTGTCTGGTATTCAAGCTGTGCAGGAGATGGTGGCGGGAGGCCAGGGATCTGGACCCTGCCCAGCAGGCCTTCCTATGGCCCTGGAGAGCATTCTTGTCCTCACCAAGGAGGTGGCCCAGAGGGTCCCTGTGCTCCGAGAACACCCAGAGGGGGGCATGCACATGCTGGACTGGCTGCAGTGGGAGTGGGCAGCCAAGGCCCACCATGCTGTGGCCCAGCTCCAGGCCTGGCAAGGTGGTCACACTAAGGCCTGTAGACTCCTGGACAGCTGCTTGAAGCTCAATGACGGACAGGACCTTGCCCAGCCTCAGCTGCACTGCGGGGAGGGGCCCTCAGGAGCGGCTGCAGCGGGCAGTGTGGATTCTCAGGGTGCTGCCCCAAGAGACACCCCAGAGAGCTCAGCGGGGACCTGCATTGTTGGTCCAGATGTTCCTGGGACAACCGCAGTGGACCTGGACATGGTAGGACAGTCGCATCTGCTCTCCTCCCCCTCCTCAACCCTCTTTCTAGTAACCAAAGCCCACTGCTAAGTTCCAGGGAAAGCTGTGTTGGTGGCCACGTGTGTAAGCCTCCTCTGGCAGGCAGGACAGGCAGCCTGTGAGAGCCCGGGCTCGGGAGTCAGACTGCCTGGGCTGCCAGCCATGGCACGCAGCTTTGACACCACACAGAAACTTTTCAGTTATTTTACACTCACGATTCTAGTCGAGAAAATGGGAACACTGATAGTTTCCTGGCAGAGGGTGAATGAAAGCATCCACATAAAATACCGGCCCTTGCCCAGCACATAGTAAGTGCATCGTCATTGTGGCTGCAATCACTGTCTTCCAGCTGGACGTGATTCCCCTGCTGTGACTGACAGCTCAGGCCACCTTGAGATCTGGGATGGTACCACCCTGCTCCAGTCAGGGTTCTTTCATTTGCAAGTAGCACGGATCCAAGTGGAATCAGCAAAAGAAAAAGATTTTTTGGAAGGGTGCTGGGTTTGTTGAGCACCTTCCAGGCACAGGGCACCAAGCAGGACAGCTGGGCATCGTGTAGCCCAAACACCTGACTTACTTGCATGCATGGTGATCAGAGGGAGATGCAGTGGGTGCAGTGCCCGAGAAGTTCCCTAGCAGATGGCTCAGCCAGCGTTTGAGGCACAACCTCATGTGTCCCCTTTGTGACCTTATGCTTGGTGGTCCAGCCCCTCCAAACCCATATAGGGGTAGTTGCTCACGTAAACAACTGAGCTCTGCAGTCCCGGGGCACCTGGCCTGACCCACACGTGGCTGCTCGGCTGAGGGGCGTGTGACAAGCACTGGACGCAGCTGATCAGCACGGGGGTGGAAGGACACAGGCTACACGCAGCTGTGTCCATGCCCAGAGCAGCTGCTCTTTGATTTCCATTTCTCTCGTGCTGAAACACCTGCTATGTTCAATATTTACAGCCTTGGACCAAACAAGATCGTGAGCTTAACTCCCTATTTAGATAGAGTTCACTGTCACATCTGTGACTGTGTGCTTTTCCCACAGCAGCATCTATCCCTTACTGGGTGTTCATATGCTTCGTGGGTGCCAGGGGAGTGGTGGGGGTGTTGGGGAATTCCTGCCCATGCCCTCCTCCCCTCCACACATGGGGCACAGCCCCTGTCCCCAGGAGCTTGGGATCTGGCTGATGAGGCAGAGAACAGTCAAGGCTACTCCTGACCGCTATCACTGGATTTACCACCAAGAGCAGGACAGCTTGTGTGGGTGTCAGAGTCTGGAAGGGGCTCAGGGAGGGTCCTGCAAGCCCCTGCACTGCTAGGGTGGCCCATTCTCACAAGACAATACAACTGAGTCAATGGGGGAAATCTCCATTGTTCACGGCAGAATTGCCATGTCCTTTTGTGTAGGACATTGAAATGGAAGTGTTGGGGTCCCCACAGTTGGGACATTCAGGGGGTCCTGAATGCCTTCCAGAAGCCACCATTTCTCCCTTCTCCCAGGTGAGGCCCAAAAATTCAGAGGGAAAGGGACTGTGCCATTTCAACTGTCCTGCAGTCTGAGTTTGCCCGGTCCCAGTTTATGCAAATTCTGGGATGAACCAGGGTGACGGAGATGCACTGTTTCCTCTTGTACCATCTTCCTGTCTATTTGGAGAAGATGCTAAGAGCAGACGGCACACTGGGAGCTGGCAAACCGCTCTTCTTTCAAACAGGACAGAAAACCCACTAATTGCCCTCGCAATTGAAAGTTCTGAGGCCAGGTGTCTCATTAACTCTGTCTTCTTCCCACAGCACAGGCCCTGCAGCATCCCTACCGAGCCCCCCAGCTGCCCAGCCTGGTTGCTCGCCGAGCTGGACCAGCCTCTCACGGAGGATGGCAGTGCCGACAGTGGGGACAGAATCACCCAGATGACCCGGCAGATGGCTGACGATGTGTTCCTGATGGCTCAGAGTTTGAGCAGCAGAGGACGCGGCTTGGTACTTGGCCTTCAAGGGGCTGCAGGGGTGGGCGGTAGGCCCAGCGGCTGTTAGGACTGATGACCACGCTCGGCCGCCTGGCACTTAGCGTTTTCATATGCTCTCCTCTTTCTCTGCCTGGTGCATCACAGACGTCACTTCATGTCTATCTGCCCTTCTCTTTTGGGCTCAATCACTACAGTTTTGTCTTATTCCACCAGGGGAGACAAGTTGCCAGAAGCTGCAATTTCATAAAAGTGAGGACTCATTCGTATCCCTGGAGGGTGAACTGAGGGGCCACTTCCATCTCTTAAAATCTCCAAGTACAGAAGCCAGGGCTGCAGCCTCTGCAGGACACCGGTCACAGATGGGGGAAGGGGCTGCCTCCCATTGGTTTGGGGGCCAACTCCCATCCTGTGTGACCTGTCCTGACTCTTTCTGGCCCTCACTTCAGTTTATTAAGCATTGTTTAACATCAACATCCCCACCCCTGCCCACCTCAACCAGCCAGGTTCTCACTGGTACAGTGACCCCAAGGTCATTAGGTCAGATGTGGTGGCAGTGGCTACGCCTTCTTGCTGACTGCTGTTCTCTTCCCAAACATCTCTGATATCCTAATTTCTACACAACTTGGGTGCTGGCCATGGTGTGTGGCTGAGGACCCTGGCATATGCAAACCCTGGAACCCACGGAATTCCCTGGGGAATGTCCCAGAGGGAGGCAGCAAAGGATAGGTGTAAGTGAGGCTCATGCCTGGTAAGAAGGAGGGACATGCAGAATTCCCCCCTAAACCCTCAAATTCCCATCTTCATACCAACCAGGCTTCAACCACCAAAGTGTCTGGTGTTTCTGAGCCAAACAGAGAAAAGAGTTTGAGGTGGTGGTTAGTGGGGGGAATGGGCCACACAGGAGTGGGGGACCCAGGATTCCTGACATGGAGCTGCGAACTTGTGTGATGTCACCTGGGGGTCTGTTAGAGGTCTTCAGCCTGGGGCTGCAGTGGAGCTGGAGGAAGGCAGGAAGATGGGCAGAGGTGTGCCCTGGAGAGGCACAGAGGTCAGCGTGTCCTTTCTTGGTGGAGGTCTACACCACACTGTTCTCTGGTCTGTTTTCTCTGGACCCTCTGAGACCCGGGTTATGAGTTCTGGAATATTCCAACTTGACTTCCACAGTTGAGCCCTTCCCCTTCGCACATGGAGGTGACCTCACTAAAGACTTCCCATGACTTCACGATTTCTCAAATCTGCGTTTGCTCAACAAATACTTGTTGAAGCCGAGACAGCTGGCTTCGTGCACAGTACAAGGAGGAGAGGGAGCCAGGGCGGGCCTCACGGGAAGAATGGGGCCGGCAGTCAAGTCCTGCCTGTTCTCTCAGCACCCATCCCTCATGCATCAGGGGTTCCCCAGCGGGGCAGGTGCAGTGGGAGGCTGGCTCCCTTTGGAGGTTTGCTGACCACCCCCAGCGCCTCTCCCCCTCGTTCCACACCTCAGGGAGCCCTGGCACTGCCTCCTTGGGTGCCAGTGGGAGGTTCAAGCCATAGAGCCCTGGCCTGTCCCTGACCCCTCCTGCTGCCTCCGGCCTTTTTGTACCTGGCAGGGAGGCTGCTCCACTGTGCTCAGTAGACCTCATATGGGACTAGTAAGTGTCTTCAGACCTTGTTGGTTCATGGCTGGCATCGTCTGCCTGGACCAAGTGTGGGAGGAAGGGTCCACCGCATCTCTGCAGGCAGGCTGTAAGACAGCACGTGTGGCTTTCCCTGGGTTTCCGCTCAGCCTGCATCCACTTTCCTGTGGCCTGTCAAAGGCCATGGCCTACTCGTCCAGACTGGCGGGAGGAGTTTTGTTTGGGTTCAGCTGGCCAGCCCGGCTTTCATCCTATTAGCTGTCTCGGTAGTCACCTTGTGTTGAGATTTTATTGGAGTAAAAGGTCTCGTGGCTTTCAAAAAGGAAGGGAAGGGTTTGGAGGCTGATTATCTGGTCCAAACCTCTCTTTTCAAATGAAGAGAACTACGGCCTGGGAAGATTAAAATTTCAAGCCGGCTGACTAGTAGGTATCTTCTGCCACCAGCCCACCAAGTGTCAGTCCCCTCATGCAGACTCCACATGTGACTGTCGTCCTTCACACCTTTGCTCCAGCCAAGACCCACTTCAACAGAACAGTTCCCATAGCTGATCCTTAGGGGGCTCATTTCTGCCCTGGGCCTGCCGAACACGAACTCTGAGCCCGGGGCAGGCAGCTCCTGTGACAAGGACTGGGTCACACCGGGGACTGCTGCCTTCTCCTCAGCAGCCCCCGCAGAGATGGGCCAGCCACCTGATGCCGCTAGTTTTCAGGGCCACCAGCCTCCTGCTAGCCCAGGAGGGACTCCTGACCCCTTAAGAGGAGGTTCAGGCCAAGTTGAAGTGTTCGCTCTGGGGTCGGAGCGGTGTTGCCAGGCACGCTGCGCCTCACAGTGTGTCACAAACTTCTCAGGGGAAACAGTGATGGCACTGCCCACCTGCCTTCACTCTAATTTCTTTTCATACAGACCAAAGAGGAGCTCATCGCCTCTGCGAGGAAGGTTGCGATGTCGGGACAAAGCTTCGCCCGCCTTCTCCATGTCGTCGCTGAGAGCTGCACAGATGCCAGGTGTTTGCAGGAGCTTCTGTGCGCCCTGGAGCAGGTGCAGACCATGAGCAACCAGCTCCACATCATCTCCAGGTGGGGACGCTGTGGGGATGGGTGTGGGAATGGCTGCTTTTCTGTTGATAATATCGAACGTTGTGAGTATGGGATAGTTTCGTTTCAGCCTGAGTCCCTTAACATCTGCACTGTACACTAGTCAGTAGCAAATCTCTATTGGTAATATTTTGCTGGAATGGAAATCTTGGTAGTTAAACGGTCATCAATCACTGTGACACATGAAAACATCGCCAAGACCAGAGTGTATACATTATTTTTAAACTAATGGGAAATAATGTTTCAGGTACTGGGTCATTCCATATTAGCCATGCACACTTTTCTGCTTCAGGTACAAGAACTGCGATCAACTGCCAAGTTTCAAATACGGGGTTGTTGTCAGGGTGCTCAGGGCTGTTTGCGTTAGGTGTGGTGAGATGCATAAACGTGGAAATGACTGTCATGAAGGAAGAAAACCTTCACAGACCCTAGAACGAGGATGCCATGCAAGGCCATGGGGGGAAGCATCAGGGTCTGTCAACAGCAGAAGTGATGGGAAACAGGCCAGAGGTTCACTGTGGTTTCGTGGGAAGGAATGGGCCAGGCTTAGGGTGGGCCCTGCAGTCCGAGGCTATCCCTTCGTGTCTGGGACCCAGCCCTTGTGGTGGGGTGTGCGTTTGCTTGGTTAGTTTGCACATGGAAGGCGCACTTGCAGGAGGGTCATTGAATATCTCTGAGAAATGATACCCTAGGAGGGGCCGTCTTCCCAACAGCAGGGTCCCGAGATGCCAGTGCACCAGAATAGAGATAAGGAGTGGATCATACAGGTGTGTCTGTCAAGCTCTTGATCCTCTAAAGGACCTCAAAGTCCTGAGATTTCATCCAAGTTCACCACTTAAGTCTCACCATGCCTTCATTTTCAATGGTGAAAAACAACTTTTATCACTGAATTCAGTTATGTTCAGTTTAAAACAGAAACTTATTAAGGTGTGTGATTCCATCAGGAAGTACCAGCCTGATCTTTGCTCCAAGTCCTGAATGCAACAAAATGTCATGTTGCCTTTCATCCTATGTGGATGCTGGCATTTGTTCTGCACTTCTCTGTAGTTATTTTCATTAAAAACATGCTTCTTATTAATGTACAGATAATGCATGAGACATACTTTCTTAGTAACCAAATATACATTTAATTTTCAACTGTTAAATGGCACCTTTAGAGAAGCTTTTCTCTGACAGTCCCCACAAAGGCTCAGGGTGTCACCTTCTGGTGTCTGTATTTGAGGTGGTGTAATGTCAGCTGCTTTCCTCCCATAAACCCCAAGTGTGAAGGCCTCCATGGCAAGAAGCAAATCCTCTGAGGAGCTCCTGGTGGGGAATGCACAGCAGGTCCTTCACGCCGTTGGCAAGACCATGAGGGCCGCAGAGGCTGCGAGTCTCAGGGTGAGTGCTGGTCCCAAGCTGCGTTGGAGTACAGCACACGTGCGTGGCACTGTGATTCAGGTCACAGGTCAAGAGGAACATGATAAACTGTAGACATTCTGAGCAAACTCTACCTTCTTAGCTGTTAAATTCAACCTTTCCTTCCCGAACCTGCAGCCTGGTTACCTGTGTTTCAGGTTGACTGATTTCTATCCATCTACCTTCAGCTTCCCTGATTCTATCTTCAGCTGTGTCCATTCTGCTGATGAGCCTGTCAAAGCATTCTTCATCTGTTACCATGTTTTTTCTTACTTTTAGCATTTCTGTTCGATTGTTTCTAACAGTTTGTATCTCCGTGCTAAAATTCTCCATCTGTTCATGCGTTTTGTCTACTTTGTCTACTAATGTCAGTAATATATTAACCACAGTTATTTTAAACTTCCTACCTGATAGTTTCAACATGTGGTTCATATCTGGGTCTGAGTTTTTCAATTCCTTGTCTCTCGACAGTGGATTGTTCCCTGCCTGCCCCCCGCTTTCTGCATCTCATAATTTTCATTGAAGAGTTGACTTCATGTGTAGACTGGTAGAGATGAAATGAATAGTGTACATGCCTGAAAATGGGCACCATCTCCTAGGCTTTTTGCATGGGGGTGGGTCAACGCAGTCAGGAGTTGTGCTGAGTGTGGGTCTCATTGTTATAGTCACCCTTTGGTGCACCACTGGCTTCAAACTTTCTAGCATTACTTTTTAGTGTAGTTGCGGGTTTGGGTTTTTATCAACATCCCTGCTCCACTCTCAGCTTGAGGATTGCCTTGTGAGTGTGCACCTCAGAGCTACTCTTCTCCAGGTTCTTGTGTCTCCCATAGCTTACTTGTCACTTGTGCCTTGAGGCCTGGAGAAGAGAGGGTGGTGTTCATCACTGTCCTCATTCAGCCTCAATTGTAGGCAGGCCCAGTGTCCCAGGTCTCAGGATTGGGGCTTTCTCAGTGATTCTGCTTCTTCCCTAGCAATAGGAGATTTTCAACACTATGAATCCAGGATGATTTTCTGCTTCTTCCCCAGGAGTAGACCCTGTATTCTGTTCCCTTTCTACACTTGATCTATAACCTAGAGATGACAGGGTTTGCTGTCCTTCCCTCAGTGACTTCAGGCTTTCGTTCCATAAGGAGACGATGTGGATGGAGCTTTGGGCCTTTGTCACAATGGTGGCTGCCTCCCTCCCCACAGCCCTCACTGCAAGGAGCCATTCCCAACCATCTGTCCTGCCCCAAATCTTTTTTTACAGTCCCCGGGGAGGTCCTAGAGAAAGCCTGAGAGCAGGTGTTCAAGAAAAGTTATGATTTTGTGGATTGTCTGACTTTTTCTTATTGTTAGGGTGGGAGCAACACTCTTTCCAGGTTTCTGTATCCTGAGTAGAGGATGAAAATGGGAAATATTTGAGTGTCTAAGAGGACACTGCCCAGGGCCTTGACATGAGGTTACATGGGCATCATTCTACCTGTGAGATGCACCTCTGCCCCCTTCACTTCTACCAAGTTCTCCCATATCTCTGGCTCCTTCCATACTTTAGGTACCACATTAAATTCCACCTCCTCAGAAAGAGGAAACACCCCCACTATCTCTAAACTACATCACACCCAGTTTTCTCTATTTTAGTGCCTTGTACGGTTCTTTTGTAACACTTATCACAGTTTGTAGTTATATTTCTCTTTTTATCCCCCCTTGCATTCATGTATTTGTTTGGCTCTTTTATTAGGACGTAAACTCCATGAAGCCACAGGCCTGGACCAGTGCGCTGGTGCATGGGAATGCTGAGTACATAGAGGGAGAATTTTTCATTTCAACTTTAAAGAAACTGTGTATCAGTTAAGATCACAGAGTTCATAAAATAGACACACCCAGGGAAAAGCATTTGAAAAATGTGCATATTTTAGCTACAAGTTCCAGAGTGGCCCCTGTGTAGCAGTGTCTGTCCCCCAAGCATGGCCACAACCTCCTACTGACCCTTCGGTATCAACTGAGGCCAGCCAGTCCCCATGCCCCAATCTCCAGGCCACCCAAGGGCAGGACAGCCTGAGAGTAAGGCCGAGTGTCCACCTGTGTCCCAGCTCTGCTCAGGCCAATGGCCAGACCATGGAGAGTTTTCATTGAGCAAAATGAATAGGCAAGGTCCAAAAGGAGGCAGAATTGGGGGTAAAGAGGGGTTGTTGGTTTTTTTTGCTGTTGTTCTTTTTTTTGGACTACATTCTCAGAACATTCCATTGTGACAACATAAGATCCTTTGCTCTGTTGTGCTTCTCCTTCAACCCCGAGGACGTCTTCAAACACCGCTCCTTGGTTTCTGGTAAATGAGGGCTACAAAGTCAGAAAAGCAGCCCCAGCCTCTCAGAGGACTCCCCCAAGAGCTCCAGCCAGCAGACAGGGGAGTGTGCACCCAGGCACCCAGTGCTGAACTCTGTCTGTCTCCAGCAGGGGTTGAGACATCGGTACCCAGATCCGGAGGAACTGGATGTCGCCGCCTTGTGCATGCGGTGGAGGCGGAAACTGCTCCAGCGCAGGCTTCGGGAAACCCCAAACCTGGACGGCGGCGAGCTGGGCCTGCGGAAGACGAGCGCTGACGACGCCCCCTCAGCTCAAGCACCTGGGGCCCCGGTTCCAGAAGTGGTATTAAAGCCAACAGGCTTTCTCTGAGTCGAACTCTGTGGATGAGGACGCTGGCTGCCCGTGGAAACCAGCCTGTGGGGACACAGGTGACACGGTGGGTTGGAGGGGTGTTCACTGTCATCAGTATCTGGCCTATGTTGCCATCCTGTGTGCTAGGCCTCGCCCTGTCACTGTCATCCTTCCTGCGCGGTGAGAAGCCCTCGCGCGATGGCATTGCTGGAGTTTCAGCGCCACCCTCCTGGAAGCTGGTAGCAGCAAGGAGACTGCCAACACCAGCTCCTGGAACACCCGATGACACATCTGCTCAGTGAAGCCTGGGCTCTGTGTAAACAATACACCCCTTGGGACATCTGGGGAGCCTCTCTGAGCCAGTGTTCAAATGAAATAGGAGCCAGCCAGCGCCTCACAGTAAACACTGACCTGTGTTGCCCGGCCTGCCGCGCTCACCTCTGGGGACCTGCCGGAAGGCAGGCTGACCTTCAGCGTGTCCATGGGCCGCAGGGCTCAGCATGCACAACTCATACGTGGAAAGCAGTGGTTTCTATGCCTTTACAGCATTGGGGCGGGGGCCCTGCAGCGTTGTGTGGGTCCTGGGGTAACCCCCGACCACACCTGCTGACCTCTGGTGCTCTGTCTACACCTGGGTCCACCGTGACCCTCTCATTTTGGCTAGGAATTGCTCCCAGGAGCATCAAGCAGCCGCCCTCATAGACTTGGCTTTTCCTCAGCTGAAGACCATCAGGGACCCCTTCCCTGGCTTTCACTGTGTGGTCATGTCATGCTGTCAGAGAGCACCATGCAGCACAGGAACTGGGTGCCCAGGAGAGTCAGGAGGGAGCAAATATGCTCTAGGCGTGGCTGCCCCACAGAGCCAGGGGGCTTTCCAGAATCTCAGACAGGAACCAGCTGCCACGACCCACTGCCCTAAAGAAAACAACGTGGACACATGTCTCCGTCTCCTTTTCTTTTTCTCAGAATGCTCAGGTATGAGAGAAAAAGCTTTCTCCACCCCAGTCCTCTCCTGCTTGGCCCTCCTTTAAGTGACACTCTGGTCATCAATATATTGAAGGGGAATAAAGAGACTTAGTCATTTCAAACCAGGCTACTGTACTGCTGCAAAACCCCGCTTTTGAGAGTCAAAGCTGAGTTACCTTCATTCCCTTTGTGTTTAAAGCTAGGAGTTACCTTCATTCCCTTGGTGTCCCTTGTAACAAACGGTCTCTTCCTCTCCTCTGTCCACCATCCCAGCTGGATGGATGGATGTCGCAAGCCAATGAGGCAAGTTCACAACTCAGAGAGACAAGAGGGAAATCCCATTAAAGATCTTAAAAATAACACACCTTTTAATGACCATTTCTGATGCCACCTTGGGGTTGGAGATGGATCTAAGATGTAGAGAGGCCTCGCTCACCTTTGGGAAAAGTGCACCTATGGGTCATTAAGGACACTCAGGGTCCCTTGAGAGACCTGTTGCTTGCCCAGATCAATGGAAAATCAGCTTGTCTTGTGGAAGTGGGGAGGGGGGGTTGTTACTTTGTGAGGGGTGTAAAGGATAACTATTGCGTTGTTCTGTACACCTGAAATTTAAAAAAAAAAGCAATTGAGAATGTAAAACAAAAAAAAAATCAACAAAAAAGAAAATTGGCTTGTCTTCAGTTATGGCTAATACACTCCATATTGGAATTCTGAGTTACCGTATAGGAACATATTGGTCTTGCCATTTTCTTGGTTGCCACCAAGATGGTAGTTGTGCCCATACTCACTGCTCCGATCCCACCTCCAGCAGCTGGCTGACTGACTGCCTTGCAGATCCCAGAAAAAAGAGTAATTAGCATTTTTCTCTCACTCTATGTACTCAGTGTACAGTGGAAGTAACTGCAAGTGTGTGAGCCTTTCCCAAGCTGTTCTAAGTAGAAACAAATTTATTCAGTCAATAAGTATGCATTGAACACTGTATTAATGGTGCCCAAGGATGTACTGTAGTGAAAAGAAATGACATATGTGGACATGTCATAGTGAGTGTTTAATGATAGCAACTGCTGGGTGGCATTTATTTCTGGCTGGTCCCCTACTTTAGCTTAAGGTAAAATTGTCACCCCTTGCATAAACTCGAGTTCTCTATCCTTTCTAACCTGCAATTACCAGACAAAGAGAGGGATTTATGATCATCTTGTCTGAAGTCCCTTTCAAGAGTAAAAAAACTATGATTTTAATTCTTCTCCAGATAAAATGAAAGTTTTTTCTGCCTGTAAATACCATGTCTTGAGTGGACACGAAGTTTGCTGTTATGTGCGGGAGCCTGTGCAGTGAGTCACCCATGATGCTAATTAGCTTCATAAGGGGAGGGTGCAGCCCATTCCAGGTAGCAAGGGATCAAGGATCTCTTTACCACCCACTTCAACAAAACCCAGACCACGATTCTATAGCCCAGGAGAAGGGTCTGGAGATGCTACTGAAAAAAATGGTCACTCCCAGTTGTGTTTTGTGAAACCTGAGAACACCACTACCTGGGCAGTTGTTGGATCAGCGAATGAAAGGGATTTTGAACTAGGTAATGGTAAACATCAGCACCTACCGAGAGGCATTCGTGCCAAGGGACTGAGTTGTCACCAGAGTTGGGGCTCACTCTTCTCAGAGGCTGTGCATGTTAAGACCAGGTACTGGGCCGGGCAGGTGTGTGCAAAGCCCAGTGCTGGTGTGTGACATCATCTCTGACAAGGAGATGAGGGCTGGCTGCTGGGGACAACCAGCCTGTCTGGATCCCAGCTTGTGGTTGGGCTGAGATGCATGTGAACACCCAGCCAGCATACACTGTGGTCTGGCTGTAATTGCCATAAACACTTGGGAGCCCTTTAACGCTGGGCAGATGGACGTGCCATCAGAGGGTGAGGGCAGCAGCACCCTCAGTGTGAAGACAGTGGAAGGGGACATGGCTGGGCCTCAGATTAAGGAACATTATGTCCACCATGCATTTCTTCTGTTCCTTGGACTTCCTGTGTCCTGTGTCCTGGATCATACGATGGTCACCACAGGGCAGTGTTGCGTCACAGTGTGACTTTGCAGTCATCACTGAAGAAGCCTTATCCATCTCTGGAACCCAATACCCAACAGCGGATGCTACATGCTGAAATCAGTGGCGAATCTCCATTTTGTGACAAGGAAGCGACGCCCAGTGACGTCGAACTTGCCTAGTGTCATATGGCTCGGGGGACTGTGCCAGCTCCCAGGGACAGTGTGTCCACAAGCGGGGCTTGGTTGTTAAGTCCACTCATTGACTGGGCGCCCTCACTCGAGATGGAACGCATGAGAACAGAAGCCCGAAAACATCTCCTAACGAGGTCCCCTGACCTGGGAGGGAAGCATGACAGTGGCCTCGTTGTTACTCAGGGCTGTGGGGGAGGAATGGCCAGGCTCTCGTGGTGAGACCTTGACTTGACCCTTAGCAGCACATCGCCAGCAGCCTTGGATGCAGACTCTCCAAGAAAACTAACCTAGCTAAGGCGAGGTGCTTCCCGGAAGAGGCAGCATCGGGAGGCAGCCTCAGAGCCGTCCGTCGCTGTGCTACAGCAGCAGCCTCTGTGGACTAAGGGGACAGCGAAGGACAAGCTCACTGCCACCCCCTCCTGTGAGTACATGGTTCCCCGTACTGTTTTTAAGTGCTGCAGACTTATTAAAGCGAAGCCATGCACTGCCAGACAGATATTATTAGAAACATTTTTATTTAAAGTCAAACATGCAAAGTCTGTCACAAAAATTACAGGAACTCACAATAACACAATGTAACTTGGAAAGTTATTAGTGAGAACAAATAATAGATAGTCCTGATTTTACCAAGTGATCTGTTCATCCTTACACAGACTAATTTATCGATTCAGCAATATACTCCTTGCTGGAAACTTTTGAACAGTAGAGCAACAATTTAGCTAATCTACTAAGTTGGTATCTCCTAAAACCTCCTAGAATGAAAACAAGGCAGCATTCCCCCAACATTTGAGGTACAACCTAGGGAACTGCAAGAATAAGGCTAGGAGGATAAAGAAAACCCCATCTCATACTGAATAGGTACACGTGAATTTCAGCCCACAGATGGTAATTGTGGGTCTGTCGTGAGCCTGGACACAGCTTCCCCTCCACACACATGCAGACAGACACACACAGGCAGACAGATACACACACATGCATATACACATGCACACAGACACACACACACACACACACACACATGGCATCTGAGGACACAAGTGCCACCAGTGTCACCACATGCAGGCACAGAACCCCTAGGCTAAGAACACGGTGCCCTGGGCTCTGCCACCTGGCTCTTTGCTTGATCCTTCCTGTACCCTAGGTGGGGAGCAGTGGGTTTAGGGCAAGGAGTGTAAAGGGTTTTTAAACTTTGGTAAGTAAGTATACAAATAACTATTTTTTGATTGTCACTTTTATAAGGAAATATCACTCTACTTTTTTTTTTTAAAGATTTTTTTATTGGGGTATTGGGGGGAAGGGAACAGTGCTGGGGAATTGGGGGAAGGGGAACAGACAAATTGCCTTCGTTTTTATTCTTCAGTCTAGTTGTGGAGGACGTTGCTTCACTGGCCCAAGTTGGCACCATCATTGCGCTCTTCC